TCAAATAACCCGGTCTACGCCAGGTACCCAAGCTAGTGCTTAAATAAAATATATTAGGTTTTACAGTGCCACAAGACTTTGGATGGATCTACACTGTAGAATTAATGCTGTTTGACACTACTTTGATATGGAATCATGGGAATTGAGTTTTGGGGCATCAGCACTATTTGGCAGAGAAGGCTAAAAATGTATAAACTACAACTGAGCCATGGCAGTTAAAGTGGTGTCAATCTATGCTAATCCTACAGTGTAGATGCACTCTTTTTTTCAACAGATTTCACCTGTCTACCCTCTCTCATATTATTAAAAAAAGATTATTTTTCACGTGGAAAAAATACAGATATCAAAAGATTCAGTTATCACTTCCCGTGCTTTAAAATGTGTGTTACAGTAAATGACACCACACACTTTGGCAATCAGTTGTAGAGTGTGGCTGGAGCTATACTGCCATATAATCGAGATTCTGAATCCAGATGATCTGCTTTGTATTGGATTATATGAGTCTACACTGGAATCAGAATCTGGATTATATAATATACTTTAATATACTTTATTTATATTCCGCTTTATCTCCCCAAGGGGAGCCAGAGCGGATTACAGAATACATATATGACAAACAGTCAATGCTGTTACACAGTTAACAACAGAGACAAACAGTACATAGACCAGAGGCTAGACTGCCCTCTTTTTTCATCTCTGGCATCTGGATGGTGTGCTCGACTTGGCCATGGGGAAGTGCTGTTGTTCCATTTTCCACGCCAAGGACCTTGTTGTCCCTGGATGCCTTCCTGATTGAATTGCCGGCATGTCTTCAGGGGTGCCTTTTACCTCACCGTCAAAGTGGTACCTATTTATATATTCACATTGCTGTTTTAGAATTGCTAGGTAAGCAGAAGCTGGGGCTGATGGCAGGAGCTCACCCCAACCTGTGGCTTGAACTGCTGGCCTTCTGGTCAGCAAAATTTTCTGTAGCTGGCAATTTAACCCGCGGTGCTAACCGCATCCCCCTTGCTAACTGTGGCAGTGTGGATGGGTCTAACTCTTCAGTCCTGTACAAACTCACTGGGATTTAGGCCTGAATAGGTAGGACTGTGCTGTAATACTGTTGCTTTTTGGTAGATAAGCTATCCGTGTCCACTGCTTCATAATGTGTACCATGCAAATACAGCATGGTTTTCTATTCATTTTATCTGGGTGAGGTGCTCAGGCTGCCCGTTTACATTTCTCAACCATAGGAATTCTAGCTGGCATTCAGGCTTTTAAACTAAGGGCTAGTCCAAGCACATGCTTATTTTTTCCATTCTGGAGGATCAGTATGGCTATTAAGTGTGGAAGAATCCATTGTGCAAAAAGTATCCTCACAAACAATTGGAGAAATCACGCTGGTGAAAAGAAAACACAGGGATGACACAAAAGCACTCTAAATACCAATGAGACGAGAAAAGTGCTAGTAGTTTTCTCTCTCTTCAGTACAACAACAATGTATCTGGCTTTGAATACTGTGTCCTGGAGACTGGGCTACAACTCTCAGAATCCAGTGGCTATAGTGGCTGAGGAATTCGGGAAGGCACTCCAATACAACGCAATCTCTGAAACACTCCCTCAATTGGGAGTGCACATGGAGCAAGGGAGCCATTTGCTACTCTGCCTCATCATTCAGGGGATGGCCCAGTTGTACTAACAATCCCCAAAGCACTGAGTTGTACACGATTAGTCAGAAGCCACCTTCCTCATTCAGCCCAACCTCCTGGGGATTACCAAGCACTAGCGTTGCTTAGGCCTAAATGCTCTAAAAAGGCACCAGGATCCTCTCTGATTGTGGCAGCTAAGCACAATCAGTCCTGGTTAATACCTGGGAGACCACCAACTCATACAATAGACCTTAATTAAATGGAAATCAAGCAAACAGAACTCTTAAGCAACCACCAAAAAATCAAATCTTAAATCTATATAAATAAAAATGTAATGTTCATTTGTGGGATTAACATAACTCAAAAACCACTGGGCGAACTGACACCAAATTTGGACACAATACAACTATCATTGGAGGGAAGGATAGTAGAAGCAAAGATGAAGTACTTTGGCCACATCATGAGAAGAAAGGAAAGCTTAGAGAAGACAATGATGCTGGGGAAAAAGGAAGGAAAAAGGAAGAGGGGCCGACCAAGAGAAAAATAGATGGATGGCATCCTTGAAGTGACTGGATTGACCTTTAAGGAGCTGGGGGTGGCAATGGCTAACAGGGAGCTCTGGCGTGGGCTGGTCCATGAGGTCACGAAGAGTCAGAAACGACTGAACGAATGAACAACAACAACAACAACAACAACACACCTATCAGGCCAATGAGTGACCATCACTCATAAAAACACTGAAAAACACAGCGGAGGGGACATTACAACACATGTGCAAAACCACATATATACACAAACACACATATATATTTACACACATATGCAAACGCACACATATATGTATATATATACACACAAAACACATCTACACAGAAAGAAGGAAGGAAGGAAGGAAGGAGAGAACGAGGGAGGGAAGGAGAGATGGAAAGAAAGAAAGAAAGAGAAAAGAAAGAAAAAGAAGAAAAAAGAGAAAAAAGAAAGAAGAAAAGAAAGAAAGGAGGGAGAGAGGAGGGAGGGAGGGAGGGAGGAGGGAAGGAAGGAAGGAGGAAGGAAGGAAGGAAGGAAAGGAAGGAAGGAAGGAAGGAAGGAAGGAAGGAAGGAAAAAAGGAAGGAGAAAAGGAAATAATGAAGTGAAAGAAGGAAAGAAAGAGAGAGGGAAGGAGAGAAGGAACGAAAGAGAAAAAGAGGGAGAGAAAGAAGGAAGGAAAGAGAGAAAGAAGGATGGAACCAAAGAGCAAAGGAAGGGAACTGTGTGCCAAGTTTGGTTCAATTCCATCGTTGGTGGCGTTCAGAATGCTCTTTGATTGTAGGTGAACTATAAATCCCAGCAACTACAACTCCCAAATTACAAAATCAAAATTTTGAGTGAAGGACATACATTGTGTTGTTAGGTGTATGCTATCCAAATTTGGTGTCAATTCGTCCCACGGTTTTTGAGTTCTGTGAATACCACAAACGAACATTACATTTTTATTTATATAGATTATAAATTTATGCCACAAACAATGTTGAATACGTTGAGACCCTGGGATAGTTATTGAAAAACTATAGCAAAATGTGCTATAGTAGGATGTCCAGTTCAGCAAAAACAAAGTTTGAGCAGTTTGGGTTGCTGTGAGTTTTCCGGGCTGTGTGGCCATGTTCCAGAAGCATTCCCTCCTGACATTTCGCCCACATCTATAGCAGGCATCCTGCCTGGGGGTATCCTTTGTTGGGAGGTGATTGGCTGGCCCTGATTGTTTCTTGTCTGGAATTCCCCTGTTTTTTAATGGTGTTGTTTTTTCTGTACTGTTTTGATTTTAGAGTTTTTTTTTAATACTGATAGCCAGATTTTGTTCATTATCATGGTTTCCTTTTCATAGCTTTTCAATGCTAATCAAGCTGACCATCTACAGCACCCACATTTGCCTCAAGCATACAAGAGTTCTTTCTCCCATCCTGGACATTCCACAGATATATAAACTCCACTTGCCTAGTTCCCAACAGACCTCACAACCTCTGAGGATTGTGTGTGTGTGTGTGTGTGTGTGTCAGGAGCGACTTGAGAAATTGCAAGTCGCTTTTGGTATGAGAGAATGGCCGTCTGTAAGGACCATGCCCACGGGATGCCTGGATATTTTAATGTTTTACCATCATTGTGGGAGGCTTCTCTCATGTCCCTGCAAAAGGGAGCTGGAGATGATAGAGGGAGCTCATCCACACTCTCCCTGGATTCAAACCTCCAACCTGTCAGTCTTCAGGTTTAACCAATTGTGCAATTGGGGGCTCCACCTCTGAGGATGCCTGCCATAGATGTGGGTGAATCTTCAGGAGAGAATGCTTCTGGAACACAGCCATACAGCCCGGAAAACACACAACCACCCAATGATTCCGGCCATGAAAGCCTTCAGGAATACTTTGGGCAGTTTCATAAACTTTCCCCATTTTTTTTAGTTTCCAACAAACCTCACAACCTCTGAGGTTGCCTACCACAGATATGGGTGAAACGTCAGAAAAGAATGCTTCTGGAACATGGCCATACAGCCTGGAAAACTCACAGCAACTCAGTGATTCTAGCCATGAAAGCCTTTAATTAGACTTTGGGCAGTTTCATAAACTTTCCCAATTTTTTAATTTCCAACAAACCTCACAACCTCTAAGGATGCCTGCCACAGGCATGGGCAAAATGTCAGGAGAGAATGCTTCTGGAATATGGCCATAAAGGGCTGGAAAACTCACAGCAATGCAGGGATTCCGGCCGTGAAAGCCTTTGATAAAACTTTGGGCACTTTCATAAACTTTCCCCATTTTTTTAGTTTCTTACAAACCTCACAACCTCTGAGGCTGCCTGCCACAGATGTGAGCGAAACATCAGGAGAGAATGCTTCTGGAACATGGCCATACAGCCTGGAAAACTCATAGCATGAAAGCCTTCGATAAGACTTTGGGCAGTTTCATAAACTTTCCCCATTTTTTAGTTTCCCAACAAACCTCACAACCTGTGGGCGAAATGTCAGGAGGGAATGCTTCTGGAACATGGCCATACAGCCTGGAAAACTCACAGTGATTCCGGCCATGAAAGCTTTCGGGAATACATTGAGCAGTTTCACCAACTTTCCACATGTTTTGAGGGCAGAACCAAGTCGGAAATGGCACTGGTGATGACCCAGGAACATAGAGTAACGTCACGTAGAGTAATGTAAACGGACCACATAGTCCAAAAGCCCCAAATATTCCTCACCTGAGAAGCCTCTTGGACACTTTGGAGGGTGGCTTGAAGGGGCAAAGACACACCTCTGGGCTCCCCAAAAAGACTGGCCTGAAGTGGGAGAAAGAAAGGAAGGAAGGAAGGAAGGCCACAGGAGGAAAGGGAAAGGGAGCCAGACCTACCAGCTGGGAGACCTTCAGGAAGAGCCGCGGGGGCTCGAGGCGGTTGAGGGCCCAGCCTGGGCAGCAGCGGGGCGCCTTCCCCGGCGGGGGCTGCTCGGCCGGGACCGTGGTCGCCTCGTAGACCCGCCCGCCGTTCTCCATGGCTGCGAAAGGACGAGGAGGAGGAGGAGGCGACGCAGCAGCAGCAGGTCCTGCAAGAAAGCGAAAGGGAAAGGCGGTCCCGCCCTGAACCAGGAGGGGAGGAAGGCGCCAAAGCCTCCAGGAGGAGGAGGAGAATGAGGAAGACCGGCTGTTAGGAATTGTGGGAGTTGAAGTCCAAAACACCTGGAGGGCCCCAGTTGTATACACTCATGCAGTGGCTGTATACACTAGGCCAGTGGTTCTCAACCTTCCTAATGCCACGACCCCTTAACAGCGATGGGTTATTCAACCTTATTCTCCCTCTTCATCGCTATGAGACTTCACCTTGTTGATGGGAAACTTCCCACCGGAGTGGAAATCATCTATCGGACAGATGGCAAGCTGTTTAACCTCAGTAGATTGAAAGCCAAAACCAAGGTTACAACAACATCTGTTATAGAACTCCAGTATGCTGATGATAACGTTGTCTGTGCGCATTCAGAAGAAGATCTACAAGCCACTCTAAACACCTTTGCAGAAGCATACGAGAAGCTCGGCCTGTCACTGAACATCGAGAAAACCAAAGTGCTGTTCCCAGGCCCGTAGCCAGGATTTCGTTTCGGGGGGGCGCTGAATTTTTTTCAGGGGGGTTTCAGGGGGGCTGAGTCTGAGTGAAAGCGGGTCTAGCCTAGCAAACCTTTTGTATCATTACCCCAATACCCCCATGCATATGGGATATATTGAGTATGGTGATCAGATCATGATATGAATAAACATAACAGTTTAAATAATGCACCAGTAAGGCCTTTTGCGAACCACCATGAGAATTTCGGGGGGGGGGGCTGAAGCCCCCTCAAGCCCCCCCCCCCCCCCCCCCCCCGGCTACATGCCTGGCTGTTCCAGCAGTCACCAGCCAACCCCTTTCCAATGCCAGAGATACAGATTAATGGTGTAACATTAGAAAATGTTGACCATTTCCGCTACCTTGGCAGCCACCTCTCCACAAAAGTTAACATTGACACCAAAATACAACACCACCTGAGCTCTGTGAGTGCAGCATTTTTCCGAATGAAGCAGAGAGTGTTCGAGGACTGGGACATCCGTAGGGAGACCAAGGTGCTTGTTTATAAAGCTATTGTCCTCCCAACCCTGCTATATGCCTGCGAGATGTGGACTGTCTACAGACGTCACATGCAACTCCACCATTGTTCACATTTAGCGCTGCCTCTGGAAATCCTGCAAATCTCTTGGGAAGACAAGCGGACAAACGTCAGCATGCTGGAAGAAGCAAAGACCACCAGCATTGAAGCGATGGTCCTCCGCCATCAATTCCGCTGGACCAGCCACATTGTCCAGATGCCTGACCACCGTCTCCCAAAGCAGTTGCTCTACTCCGAACTCAAGAACAGAAAACGGAATGTTGGTGGGCAGTAAAAGAGATTCAACGATGGGCTCAAAGCCAACCTTAAAAACTCTGGCATAGACACTGGGAACTGGGAAGCCCTGGCCCTTGAGTGCTCCAGCTAGAGGTCAGCTGTGACCAGCAGTGCTGTAGAATTTGAAGAGGCACGGATGGAGGGTGAAAGAGAGAAGCGTGCCAAGAGGAAGGCACATCAAGCCAACCCCGACTGGGACCGCCTTCCACTTGGAAACCAATGCCCTCACTGCGGAAGAAGATGCAGATCAAGAATAGGGCTCCACAGTCACCTACGGACCTGCCATTACACCGATCATGGACAACTATCCTGCTCAGATAATGAGGGATTGCCTAAGTAAATAAGTAACACCTCATGTCATGTTGTGGTGACCTCATGTTGTGGTGACCCCTAACTATAAAATTAACACCTCACCTCATGTTCTGGTGACCGCCAACCATAACATTATTTTTGTCACTACTTCATAACTGTAATTTTGCTACTGTTAGGAATCCTGACATAAATATATGATATGCAGGACATATTTTCATTCACTGGACCACATTCAGCACAATTATGACTCTTCGGCTTAGAAATGGAGATGAGCACCACACCCCAGAGTCAGACATGACTGGACTTAATGTCAGGGGACTACCTTTACCTTTACCCAATACGCCCAAATTTGAATACTGGTGGGTTTGGGGAATGGGTTGATTTTGTCATTTGGGAGCTGTAGTTGCTGGGATTTATAGTTCACCTACAATCAAAGAGAATTCTGAACTCCACCAACGATGGAATTTGGAGGGCATTGACCTACATCCAGAGAGCACTGTGGACTCAAACAATGATGAATCTGGACCAAACTTGGCACGAATACTCAATATGTCTAAATATGAACACTGATGTAATTTGGGGAAAATAGACCTTCGTACTTGGGAGTTGTAGTTGCTGGGATTTATAGTTCACCTACAATCAAAGAATGTTCTGAACCCCACCAACGATGGAATTGAACTAAACTTGGCACACAGAACTTCCATGACCAACAGAAAATACTGAAAGGGTTTGGTGGGCATTGACCTTGAGTTTTGGAGTTGTAGTTCACCTACATTCAGAAGCACTGTAGACTCAAACAATGATGGATCTGGACCAAACTTGGCACAAATACTCGGTATGTCCAAATATGAACACTGGTGTAGTTTGGGGAAAATAGACCTTGACATTTGGGAGTTATAGTTGCTGGGATTTATAGTTCACCTACAATCAAATAGTATTGTGCTAAACTTGGCACAAATACTCAATATGCCCAAATTTGAAACACTGATTCAGTTTGGGGAAAATAGACCCTGATGTTTGGGAGTTGTAGTTGCTGGGATTTGCAGTTCTCCTACAATCAAAGAGTGTTCTGAACGCCACTAACGATGGAATTGAACTGAGCTTGACATACAGAACTCCCATGACCAACAGAAAACACTTCTGAGATTCACACGATTGATAGTTCACAACCATGCCTTGAGATTAGAGCAGCACAACTCTTCTGACAAAATGCAGCACAAACCGATCTACATTATATGTTCTTTAGAATGCACGTATCACTAGAACAGTATTTAATGCAGCTGAGAAGTCTGTTACCTCCCTCTTGTGGACATCTACAAGAAGTGTAACAGATCTTCACATGCACATTACCAGTGATTTAGGAATATGGTGTATCTGGTCAGGAGAGATTAAGACTGTATGGTAAAAAACAAAAGAGCAGCAAGTGATAAAGTTTCCTTATAGATGTGCAATTTTCTCTGATATCATTAAATTAGTATTAGTGTACCCATGGCAATCCTAAGCCAATTCTCTCAGGGTTTTTTTGGCGTAAAAAAACCCTGGAGTTTTAGTTTTATCTACCACTGCGGTTGAGACAGTGTGAGTTGCCCAAGGTCACTCAGTTTATTTCCGTGGCTCAGCAGGGATTTGGACCACAAATATTGCAACGGGTATGAATATATGAAACGTCTTTTTTTAGACAATACATTCTCTTCTTCTTCTTCTAGTCCAACACTCATACTAAAAAAGTTACAGGTTGTGCCTCCCTAAGTTAATGTAAGTTAATGTAGTTCTTAAAAGATTGGACTTAATCTGAATTCCAAAAAAGCATATGTACATGTCTACCATGTTTAGGAAGGTGTCCAAATATCTTGAAAATAATGGAAACCTTTAGCAGTTTGCATAGGAATTTGTTTATATATATTTTTTCAAACGATAGTCTGGCCCCTCAACAAGAGACCACGAACTGGCCCTTGATTTAAAAAGTTTGAGGCCTCCTGATCTAAAAATAAAATTCTACAGTGACTACTAACATAATAAACAATGATAGGACAGTTTTTTAAAAAAAATAATGTATTTTCCTGGGTGGGGGGTAGATTGTTGCTTCATCCGCCCTAGAATAACAATTCATGAGGTGTATCAATCTCTCATTTTCAGTAGGCTAAAGGAGCAATCCACTATGTGTGGGCCTAACAACCGTTCCCATTCAGCACAGTGTCCAAAACTTAATCTGTCAAAGTGGCTTGACTAGTTCTGTATTTATCCACTTTGTAATGTCTCATAAACGTCAAAGGTTCTTTTCAACCAGCAGCTTCCCAAACATCTTTAATTAGCATTGCCTTTCTAAAGGCTGTTGTTGTCACAATCAGTGTGGTGGAGTGTGAACAGATGCATTTGTGGCCTTTGGATTGTCGCAAAACCGTAACATAGAAAAAATACAGCTTTTAACCATCTAGACATTTGTTTAGATGCTCTAAGTCCCAAAGTCCTCAAATTAAAGGAGACAAACCAAGTTTCTGTTCACCTAATCCTTCTCATCCTTCGTAGATATACTTTTACTATACTTCTGACATCCAAGGAATACCACTTTATCTATGTTCGGGATTTAGGGATAACATGGACTGTACTAGCATCTGACTACCTACCTTCTTTTTAATGATTCAGGAATAAAGAATGGATTTCTGACTAAAGATAACTTATCAACAAACCTACAGAAATCGGTTTGGTAGATAGAAAGAAGTGCCACTTCAGGAACACATGGGGCTGACACCAAAAACAGCATCATGTTTTTGACATCTTAGGGTGTTTTTTCTTCAAAGGTTCAAATAAGTCAGCGGTTCTCAACCTATGGGTCCCCAGATGTTTTGGCCTTCAACTCCCAGAAATCCCAACAGCTGGTAAACTGGCTGGGATTTGTGGGAGTTGTAGGCCAAAACACCTGTGGCTCACAGGTTGAGAACCACTGAAATAAAGGAACATGAAAAATGGTTGCTTATTGGAACGAAACCTTTGGTAAATAATCTTGGAGATGACGGGTAGAGATCCAAATTGATAATGATCATTGATGACTCTTGTATTGAAATGAAGAAATTACCTACAGAATGGATTAATGGAAACTTGCAAGCGTTCTTCCCATAAACATATAGATAGCAAGAAGTCACATAACTCCAAGTTGTCCAAAGTAGTTTGTCTCTATTTCAAATCTTTGGTATTGCACAAATTCATTGAGGCACCTCAGGTCTGAATATCATTCGCAGTCACCTACTACACTATTGCTACCCATTTGCTTGTTTCTAACCATGCAAATTATCCTGTCTATTTAATTGAAACCCAAAGTATGGACATTTTCCTGAACAAGCTCTTCAAATGATCAGCCTCAAGGAAATCTAGT